TTAAAAGCTGCTAATTGTGTTAAGCTCCCTTTTTGGAATCCATATTGTTAAGAGTTTAATACATTAAATTTAGTATAAAAAATCAATAACCTTTTATGCATACATTTTTCAAATATCTTTGAAATTACTAAGATTAGAGCAATTGGCCTATAGTTTGCTGGATTATCAGTATGTCCTTGTTTTCGGATAGACTATTATAGCTTTTAGCTTTTCTGGAAATACTCTCTGACCAAATGACAAATTTATAACATGCGCAAGTATGGCGCTATGATATTTATATATCTATGATATTGTTTAATTTGTTTTAATAATTTTGTAGGTAAGTTGTTAAAACCAATAGATTTTGTGTTTTTTAGGGATTTTATTAATTTATCAATTACTTCAGGGTCAGTAGGGAATAGATAAATATTGGAGTTATTTATTTTAATGTTAACTTTGCAGAATTAATTCTTCACACAGTCACTTTGTGTACCTATGAAATATATATTCAAGACTTCACTTATATCAGTCGGCTTAACATAAGTAGTTTTATCGTGAGTTATTTGATAAATTTGATCTATGAAATATATAATGATCCGCCAGAATCCCTAATAGAAATGTTATCTGTTCTATTTATGTGTGTTATATTTATATTTTTCTTAACTGACTCGATACATTTTTTAAAAAGTTTGTTGTATGTTGTATATTTAACTTGTCCAAATTATTTTTAGTTTTATAATATTTCAATCTTAGTTTTCGTTAAGTATCGCTTGCAATTTTTGGTCCTTTTGTTAACCATAACCATATAAGTTTTTTATGTCGTTGGTCTTTTTTCTTAAAAGGTTGATAGGAAAACATTAATCAAACAGTACAGTAAAGTCATCATGGAATCGAATAATCTGAATTCTTCAGTTGTGTAGTTTTTTTTTTATTTCATATATCTTTATTTTTTTAAAAGACAAGTGTTTTAGGATACTTGTCTGGTGTGCGAGGAACAAAGTACACCCAAACTGAGAACAATTATTTGCTTAGAGTAAGTACTTAGTAGAGGTCTATTAGGCGTGCCACCGTAAGGGACAACAAATAAATCATCAGTGTTACTAGGTAGTTAAATGTTCCTCGATTATGGGGAGATATTTTGTTATTAGCAAAGGAGGAATAATTTGGTTAGCATAATTTGTAGAAAAGTTCAGAAACTATCTACTTTTCTGCGATTTCACCAAATTATAACTGTAGTCACCCACGTATGATGTAACTTCCCATGGGTGAAAGAATTAGTAATAGAGGAACATTTTTAATTGTAGAAATATTGACACACTATCCATCATCTTACTGGGCGGTGCCACTACCAGCAGTTGCGCATCTCTTGCCTTTGACGAGGGGCAGTCTAGCGGCGTAGCGCGCTCGCTAGGCATTGCACGCTCTTTGTCCTGTCTGGGCGGTTGGACTTGAATGTTCACGAGCCCTTCCCCTAACCCGAGACGGGACCTGTCTTGTAAAAGAGGCGGGTCTCGAGCGGGGACGGCTTGCGCGGGAAGTAGTCCCGTTGGGGACCGTTTCCGTGCGTCGTTCCCCCGCAGTGAGGGACATCGCTGAGTTTTAGTGTGCAGGCCCCTGGTTTTTGACCAGCCCTCATTCTGGGGTTGGTCCGCAGGGGAGAGCCCCACATAACCCGTGGAGCTCGCACAGGGTAAAGCGAGTATGCATAAAGCATTTCATAGCGTCAAAAAAAATGAAAAGGTCACGAGTCCACAATACTGTGTTGAAACTACGACCAAGCTATTTTGATACTTTTACCAATTTTTGTATTTTTGTTAGTATTTCTATGGTACACGACTGCCCTCGAAAAGGAGTCTATTGTTTTTAGAATTAATGTATGTATGTTAGTTTTTTTATAACATAACTTTTGAAAGATATAACGGATATGAATGTATATATAGGGTATCACTAGTAGTAGTTAGTAGTAGTAGTAGTAATTTCGTCCATGGGACAGACGAAGGAACTAAGCTATACAGCCAAATCTTGGATTGCATCCTTTATTGGTATCATAGGAATATCATCCTCTGTTACAACAAACTACATAGAGAATCAGTGACACTAACTATATTTTTTTTATATTAAATAGGTATGGGGACGTGTGACGCCATTTAAAACAGTATGTTTTATTTATTATAGCTTTAGGGGTATCAAATTAAAGGTCTTTATACCAAATTAACATCTGACTAAAAGGAATGAAATATAAATAAATAATTTAAAAATTAAAAACACGACTGCTTAGATCGAACAAAAATTAAAATTATATTAATATTGATTAAAAAATATTCGTGCCATATTCTTCGCCGACGATTTCGGAATATTTTCGTCATCCACAGGAAATATTTTTTTTCTAGGCATGATCCATTCTGAAACAATCCCATTATCACCATATCATTAGTGCTGAAAAGTAGAAAAGAAAAGCTGAAAAGTAATCAAATCAGAATTATATTAAACTAGTTGTGCCCGCGACTTTATGCGAATGGAAAGTAACCTAAGGTTCTTATCTCATGGTTAGATGCGATGTAATTCGATATCGATGAGCGATATCGTACGAATTTCACGCACTTATAAAATGTATGGAAAATCGCAAATGTTTGCTCATAAGATTGTACTGTCAATATCGGTCACAAATCTCATGGTCTGCGACTCTTCAAATATATGAAGGCGGTAGAACGCTCGATCTGCTTTTGATTTTCTGTGCAGCAATATCGAGCAACGATTCAGTTACGTAAACTTACCATATCATCAAAATATATTCAATTTTACAAAAAAAAATACGGCTATATCCGTATATAAACAAGTGAAAAGCCCGATGGTGCCGGTTAGAGCGTTTGATCTGCGATTGAGGAGGTTAAGCGACGATAGCAAAAGCGGGTAATTTGGTTTGGCCGGATTACTTGGTAGATTAATCACCCTACAGTGAACGATTTTTTTTAATTGAACAGAAAAATAATATGAACTTTTAAATGTTACCTATGTTTATAGAAAAATAATTAAAAAATCTAAATAATATTTTCGGATTTTTTGAATATTTCAGTATGTACCAGATATGTCACAAAATACGTTTAGGGTGTATAAAGTTTTATATGTATATAACTTACTCTTAGCAAGAATAAAATAAAACAGCAATATTAATTATGTTATATTTTAGTTAAAAATTAAACTATAATTTTGTCAAATTATAGTAAGCACAGACACTATAATATATTAGAAAATAGGAAGAAATTGAGATCAGTAATCATTATGTGTAGTCTTTTCCTCTTGAATTAAATTTTACTCTTTATTTATGAAATTTACATATGGAATAACATAAAACTATTTTTATCTTTATTCGGGCACAGCGCCACCTTACATTTATCGCAGTTTACAAATGATTTCCCCTTACAACCAGGAAACTTAAAGCGTTGCCTAGAAGCCAACCATAACGGGAAGTGGTCGATGCCATCAGTCCTGGCGTCTTTGGGTGGTACGACAGCTTTTGGCTTTGTTTTCATCCTTTCTTCCAGCATATCAAATCCGGAGATGTGTAGTAAAATAATAAAAAAACTTTGTAGTTTTGTTCTTTTGGAACTGTTCGATAGTGGCGCACTACTATATTACTATTGGCGCCCAAATCAGGTTCATTAGTCGGTCTTAGGTCAAGATCATTTTCAGTGTCAGAATATATTTCGAAAGCATAAGCGAAACCGTTGTCATTACACAAAACTAATAGTTTTCAAGTAATTACTGCGTTTTTTCCATTTAATTCATGACTCAATCTCAAAATCTAATAAGATTATCATCACTATCTTCATCAGATATCTCTAGTTCATCTTCACTGCCCGATGACATATGTAAAATATGCTCAGTTTCGGTTTCTGTTACTCTTTTGCAGGGCTCTTTTTTCATCTGAAATCAATCAAGTATCATATAATAACCCTTATTGCACAGTGAACCATATCAGTCACATACAAATAAAATCCAAAATATGCGTAGATAGTAACTGATATCATAAAGTACTTATTTACCAATAAACTATAAACAAAAACTTACCTCTTTTATATTTTTCCGAACGAAAACACTCTAATTTGGCTTTTTTTTTTCAATGGTAAAACTTTACGTTTTCAACTTTTTTTCAAAGTGACCGCTAATTTGACTGCAAAATAGTTTTCTGAGTGCTGCGCAGCCCTACGAACGAATGTGAACTATATTTTTATGTACTATAGTGTGTAGTTACGCTACTTTCTATTAGATGGCGTGAAAGTGTTACGAAATACAAGGAATAAATCGGTATGTACCATATGTGTCACACTATGCGCTGTAGGGTTAATTGAAAATATATATGCTTTAGCACCAGTGCGGAATTCTGGATGCATTTGAATCATCGATTAATAATATGTGCTTTAACACTACCAATCCTAATTGGTGTGTTGAATGCAGCGAAGAATGCTGGTTGGAATAATCATTTATTAAGAATGTCTGTGCTTTAGCACCACCACACGCGGTTCCAGTCAGAATTGCTGGATGGATTAACTTGATGCTGAAGTAGTTAACAAGTTTGATCTGCGATTGTAGAGGATAAGTGACGTTTGCAAAGGCCACTAATCAGGCATAAATTTTGTTAAATAAAATTGTTGTGGCTAAGAGAAATTTAAAGTTAACTTCAAGCAATTTTTGATGTTTTTTATTTATTTATAATATGTTTTTTTTTCTATATTTAATCAGTGCTATTTCCAAATTTCGACGCTATCTGCGTTCTTTACGACTATATAAGAGATTCTATTTTTTTTATTTCGTTTTTTTCGTTAAAATTGACAAAGTTTCATACAAACTTTCGTCCCCTATTTTATCCCCCTGGGGGTAGAATTGATTAAAATCCTTTCTTAGCGGATGCGTATTCATAACATCTGACTGCAAACCAAATTTAAGCCCGATCCGTCCAGTAGTTTGGACTGTGCGTTGATAGATCACTATGTCAGTAACTCACCTTTGAGTTATATATATTTAGATTTTGAGTTAGATTACTTGATCACTCCAATTGCCAAACTACGTGGAACGTACTAACATATACCTATTACATTCGCACATGACAGATTGCATTCCGCTTCTTGGTGATCGCAGATATTGTAAAATGAGTCGTCCAAACATCAACCTTAAGAGATTTGCTTAAGAGTGAATTCAGCTTTACTTAAAGCGTTATAGAAAATAGATAGTATCACCGAATCACAAGTGATCGCGCTTCAGGCAAATCACTAGTTGAATAACTGTCTATTGCGAATAACGTCTATGCTAATGTCATCTAGAACCTACCTTACGTATCGAGTTGGCAACAGAGTGTGATCATCGCCATCTTTTATTCATTTCATTTTCATTTTACATGAAAAAATTAATTTATTTTCTTGACATTGGCAAAATTGATTAAAAAAGAAGAAGAAGAAGAGTTGGCAACACTGGTCACTGTCAGTGTCAATATTATGTCTGTGTCAATGTCTAATATTGTCAATTGTCGAGGTCGTAGAAACAAAGCGAAAGTATTACTGAATTTATCGTATGTGCATGTTAATTATATGATTTGATTATGTACGAGGTATTATGACGTATTGACTTTACGTTGACTGTATTCATACCGTATTTAATTGATAAAGCATAGAACTGTAATTCTGTGTTAGTCCCCGGTTGTCGGTTTGTGCATAGAGTGCTTCGTGTGATCCGTGTCCCCCCGACTGCAACGACATTTAAGAGATTGGATGTAAATAACTGTGGATGATGTTGATTATGAATCTTTGGAATTTATCGACATTACTATTTATTCTACCTAGTTTAATCAACTGTGCAGTAATAGTTAACGATGCCGATATTGATGAACAAGGGCTGTACAGTAAGTCCGATCACGTCGTTATCCTCACCCAGCGCAATTTCGAAAGAAGGGTTTATGGTCAAAATCATGCGGCCGTAGTTCAATTCTATAATAGTTATTGTGGACATTGCAGAGCTTTTGCACCAAAATTTAAAGCTTTATCATCAGAAATTGTTCCTTGGAGAAATATTATTCAACTAAAAGTTATAGACTGTTCTGTTGAAGAAAACAATGAGATATGTAGAGAATTTGAAGTGATGGCTTATCCTTCCTTGAGATACATTCATGAGCATTATGTGAAGGCTAATGGAAATGTTGGTGATAGAATAATGATGACAGACACAGGTGAAAAGTTAAAGTCGCATTTAATAACTAAGATGCAGACAGAGCAATCTATGGGTCGTTTAGCTTTTGCACCTAAATTTGATATTGCTTCTTATACCTCTTATGCTGGAGCAGTTGCTGGTGTACCGCATGATGTCACTTATACATTCCTTGTTTTTGAAAATGAAAATTCAACTGTTGGATCTGAACTCGCATTAGATATCAATGATTATAAACAAATCAAAGTGAAACGTGTTTATGACATTTCTGAGTTGGCAGCTGTGGCTGGTTTGACCCATTTCCCAGGGTTAGTAGCAGTCCACTTATCAACCTTACAACCCACACCCTTGACTCCTATAAATCCAACAAAGCAAAATTTACTAAGGACTATAAACACATTTTTGAAGTCAAAACAATACATATTCCCTGACAGAGATATACCAGATCCAGAAGCCAACACAAATGAACATTCTGATGAAAACAACCAACCCAAATCTAATACAGACACGGTTTACTACAGTGATTTAGAAAAAACTCTTAAAACAAGTCTGTACACTGAAATTACTCGACATAAAATTCTATCAGGAGAAGCATTGAATGCTTTATTGAGCTATTTGGATGTGCTCAAAACATCCTTCCCTTACAAAACAAATAATTTAAGAGATTTCATTGAAGATTTGTACAACACTCTTCAGACAAGAATGGAGTGGAGTGGTGGTGATATATATGATTTGGTGAAGAAATTAGAAAATACCCATGCTCCTATATTTATTACACAATTAGAATATATTGGTTGCAAGGGAAGCCAGTCCAAATATAGAGGTTACACCTGTGGGCTTTGGACTTTATTTCACACTTTAACAGTAAATGCAGCACAAAAGTCTGGAACCAAAGGTCCACAAGTACTGAGGGCGATGCATGGTTATGTTAAACATTTCTTTGGATGCACTGAATGCTCAGAACATTTTCAAGCGATGGCTGCAAGAAATCGACTGTTTGATGTAAAAGAAAATGACAAAGCTGTCCTTTGGTTATGGATTTCCCATAATGAGGTTAATTTAAGACTGGCAGGTGATTTAACAGAAGATCCAGAATATCCAAAGATTCAATTTCCAAGTGTATCCAAGTGTCCTGAATGTAGACTGGCACGCGGAGCATGGAACCTTCCAGCTGTATATCAATACCTGGAAAACATGTATGGTGCAGCTAATATTCAAGAATTTAGAAAATCACGCTCAGCTGCTTCAGCACCCAGTCCGTTCTCCAACCTCGACATTGGAATGTTAAGCCTCCTGTACATATTATCTTTTATTATTCTTATTCTAGTCATTAAGTATTTTTTAACAAAACGATTTTACAGAAAACGTCATTACAAGCATGGAATGGGTAAAGTATGAGTGTAGCTTTACATTAACATTGAGTGTGTATTGTCTGGGTTGTTGAACCATTACGTTTTACAAACATTTGTGGTAAGTGGTATACATTTATTTTAGTAAAACTGGAATGATCATTTTCCATCTTCCATAAAGAAATATGTGATATTACTTAATTTATGACATCAAAATACAATTTTGTATAAAAATGCACTATTTTTAAACATCTTTTGTGGTTATAATGGTGCCAAAAAATATTTATATTTGATTATTTCAAATTGAAGAATATGCTTTATAAAATAGGGGTGATGACTAATTTTTGTTTATTTGACTGTTGAAAAATATTAAATACATTTTTATTTTCGTAATCATTAAATTAAGACAATATATTGAGTTAAAATTTCACATGTGTACATTTTCTACAAAATTTTGATGTAGCGAGACCCCTCCTCAACTTTAATGCCTGTTATCTAAGCTATTTTGTGTTAAATTGAAGTAAAAATAATACATATCTAATATTTTTCTATTATCTATGGACTAAAAAGATTTTTTTTGTCCCTGGTCATCATCCTACTTATTAAATTTTATATTGTTTATTTCCATCTATTAAATGAATGAAATTCGTAACCACATACCACAAATAAATTTTTCTATTACAATAATGTGATTTCCCTGCTTAATATTACAGTTTTTTTATTTTGAATTTGAAGAATAATAATATATGTATATTTTTTTATTTTTCTATAAACAGATATAATGCAAACATTTATTTGCATAATACAACATTTATTGAAAATCAATCTGTATAATATGTTGGCAGATAAATCACTTTTATTTTATTTTTTTACTGTGACTAATTCTGTGTCCATTACTCATTATTCCTTTATTGCATTAAATTAATAATTGGAACATCACATTCCACTATGGGTAACAATTTTCGGTATGATTTTATCAAATTATTATGATGAAAGTTATAGTGATTTGGACATATTATCCAAATATTTTATGCTGTAAGGTTAATTGCTTAATTACATTAATAACAATAATTAATTACATACACATATATATATATATATATATATATATATATATACTATATATATATATATATATATATATATATATACCATTCTGATAACTAACAAAAATTATTAGCAAAGAGGAAAATATATCAAATATAGGGTGTTCAAATATTTGTTACAAAAACTTTGCTCTTGGCATTTAATTATAATAGCATTTGCATTTAATTATAAATCATTTTGTTTTTGGAGAAAATTAGAAAATTAATTAGTTACATAAAACATCCTGTTAATGAGTCTAAAATTAAATGACCCAACATAATAATAGTTTTACTTTTACAGAAAAAAAATATCATACATGCAAAAACCAAAAAAAAATAATGTCATGAAAATATTCATTGATTTTTATCAACAAATGAAATAAATATTATTTAATAATACTTTGCATAACACAAGCAACCTTAATTTTTTATAATTTACATATAGTAAGGTAATAGTGAGAGATTTGATATAATAATATAATTGTCCAAAAGTAGGTACCCAAAGTATTTTGCCATTTTTATTTTCGTTGTATTGTTGGAGATGTGTGTGTGATGAATCACAAAAATAGTGTTCTTTTATGATTAAAATGTACCAACTTTTTCTTTACCTTTGTGTAAATAAATTACCCTTGGAATTTATACTTAATGTGAGCATTTAACTTTAAATTTGTTTAATTTCTGTTATTTTTAAATCTAGCTTGGCACATAGGGTCGGTGTCCAACATAACGCAAAACTGTTTTTAGAGTCAGCGCACAGTTTTACTTCAAAGAAAACATACTTTAATATTTTATTATACTTTTAAGATTTTTTGGTTCAGTTTAGAGAGTCGTACAATAGATATTGCACATTAATGCATTATGTTGAGGTACGCGGACGATTCGTGTACAAACGTAGAACTTTACGATAGGCCAGGAGTCGGCAACCTGCGGATCGAGAGTCGCATGCGGCTCGATCAATCTTAATTTGAGGCGCTCAATTTTAATTTACAAAAAATATGTAATTATGTTTCTGACGATATACTTTAAATTTGTATTATAATTTAATAAAATACGTTTGAGATGTACTGATTATGCTGACTGAAATATATTGAAAGGCGTTCATTTGAAATGAAATCTTAAATAAGAATAATATTGAAACGAAATCTTCCATAGGCTCTATAAAAACGGATATTTTGTAAATTGTAGTTTGCTCATCGTCTCATAACGTTGCCAACCCCTGAGAACAGGCTAAAATTATTTTGCAAAATTGAGCCCGCGTAGATGCCGTGTAAATTACTCAGCTCTATTTGAATTTGAGCTAGTTCAGTAGTCTGTAGATATTTCAAACACTAGAAACAACGTGCATATAATTTTATACAATCGCGTCAATTTATTTACATATTCGCACACATGAAAATCAAACAAATTAACACTCTATTGTTTTTTTTGCGTATTACGTACGACGTACGTTTTGGGAAAACGTCATCTTGAATGGTATTATTTAATTTAATTTCTTAACTATATATCTTTTTCAATTACAATAATATTTCACAAATCGGTCAATGTCATTTAAGAAACATTACTTTATTTAATGCAGTATTTTATGAATTCTTAAATTCAAAAATGTCAGTTTATAATGCAAATTTCCATTTGTTTTATGACCAGTTTAAACCATTATTATTACACATGCTCCTGTATTACTGTATAATCCATGACAAGTGAATAGATACGAATCTATTTAATACGACTTAAATTATGTTAATATGTGCAGTAATTATCAAAACATTTTACTGTTTACAGAAAAAATATGTAGTTATTACTCATAAGTATAGGTCCATCTGAATCTAACAATTCTATAAAAGTGTTTTTTTTTACAGTTTATTTTAACGTTTTATGATTTAACGCTATCTCCATTCTACCTCAGTAATTTTATAGAAAGGGCCAATGAACGACTACACAAAAAGTGCGAACTGACCCTTAGGCCCCAGACTCTAGAAAACTTCGAAAGTTTATTCTATTTATTATAATTTGCTTTCAAACAGATTTACTGTTCACTATTAAATAAGTATTAATAACCGCAGCCGCAAAGCATGTCGTTGTCAAAATATTTATAAATAAAAATATGTGCATAACCTCCCAGTTTCTAGTAACGTGGAACCTTTTACAAGCCACAAGTAAAACTCACCCACTCCCTACATTAAAAAAAAAGTTTGTTATGGAAAAAATGCTTGGAAATGAAAAATATGTCATGAATTTGTTGCAACTCTAGCTGCTTCAATATTTATATTTTACATACAGATAATCTTACCTGTGTAGTTACGGTATACCTATTAGTATTTATGACGTAGTCTGTTTATTATAAGAATATGCTTTGATTTCCAGCATGCATATGCGTTAGGTGCCTAATTAAACATAATCACTTTATGAAATAGTGTTTATCGTATATTTACAAATCATTTATTGTTAGTTTTGCATTTTCTGTTTATAAACTACCTAACGTATAATCGTAAAAATAATGCGCATGGAATTATGTGCCACTAACTAATAACTAATTCAAGAAAGATATCGAGAAAACGATATAGAAGTTTTGAATATTTAATTATAAAGTCCATTCTAATCTTAACATATCACTTTAATGTACAATACGGTATTGTAGGTTTACATCCTCGTATATTAAATGCTCCTATTCAATAACATTTATAAGTAATAAGCAATTTTTATAATAAGTAAATACCTATTTCATGTTTTTTATATACCGATATGTGTGATTTACAAGCATTTTAATGTTACCATTATTATATTCTGTTTAAATAATAGCTAATGAAAAATAGTTTTAAGACATTCCGTAAGTACTATATGACTATAATTGAAAGAAATCCCTAGATTTTTTTTATACACAACATTAATCTTATATGAAATGGAGAGCTATTTTATCTATTTAAAAATTATTAAATTTTATATAATTTATTTATTCCGTTGTTTCAATTGTAATTATTTGAATTTGTTTAGTATTCATTATTGTAATATTATTTTTTCATTTGAACAGTTTGGTTCTTCGTGTTTGGGCGGACAGTCTTCTAGACTAAGGTCAGTCGAGAGAGTCCTCACCATTTCGTTTTGTGGTATTATGTGGTGGTGGTGGCAATTCTATTTACAATGGAATGACCATGTTTGTCCTGTTCGCAGATATTCGGTGTGGTTGACTCGGACGTGTTTTGTTAAGAATGTTTTTTTTAATAGCTAGGCCTTTTTCACGAAAACGAATTTATTTGATAAATTACGAATTATTACCAAACCAATTTTTAAATATAGCAGCATATTAATCTGAAATATCGTTTCATATAGGTTTCGTGGTTTTCAGGATGTAACTACAACTCACTTCATAGAATATGTCTTGCCTGCCTAAAGTATTGTATTTTCGTTCTATTTTGTTTAGAACAGCAGAGCGATTCTGTAAAAATCCGAACCCGAATTCTAATTCCCTAATTCACGTCATTTAGTGTAGAAATTCTGTTGATTTCATTTGTTGTATAAAATTATAAAATAAAATTGATTGAATATACGTGACTCAGATATTTTATTCCTATGTCATTTCGAAAGTCACTTCATTCACTTATGCCACGACAAGTTATTACCAATTCGAGATTAAACGGATGCCGCTTTTTGAAGTGAATTCGAGTTTGGATTTGCACAGAATCGTAGGGCAAAACCTGCCCAAAACAATGAAATATTTTTTATATACTTTCAATAAACACCAAACAATTATTCATTGAATTATCAGATAAAAGAATATTGGAAATTGCCGCTTTGTAGATAATTCTAAAGCTTTGATATTGTTAAAACTTGAGGTTTATGTTTTACTAGCTTTACGCGTGGTCCTGTATTATGCATATAAACTTATCTCTTGGAGCACTATGTATATTGATGAAAATCGTATTAAAATTCGTTGTGCAGTTTATAAAATCTCATCTACAGACAGCGAGAAGCGACTTTTTTATATTATGAATAGAGACTTTCTGCACTATTATTCCGTTAATAATAACAACCAACGTCGAACACAACGCCATTACAATATTAGAGGTTCGATCACATAAAACTTACTTCAAACTTTAATAGAGATTATATTTCATTGAACATTTAATGCTACGACGGCGCTGTGTTGACAAATTAAGAGTTGCGTTGTGGGAATATGAAATATCGCCAAATCTACTTATTCTAATTGGTATCGTTATTTCAGCGCATCTTATACCTTCTTGGATAACGCTTTCGACCCCCATGACCCCAACCAAAGCAACCTTTGGTCCATAATGCTCCTCTCTTGTGAAATCAATGGATACACATTTGTGTGTAGCTCCAACTTTAAATGAACAGGATCTAGCATGGTGGCAAACTAGTTTCTAACTTATCAATTATATACGATACATTTTATAAAATATGATTTGACTTTTGTTTTGGTAATGCTTTGTAATAGAGGTTGTTGTATGCTAATAAGCAACTGTGGTATTAAATAGATTGTCGTTCTTTCCCTATAAAATTTATGTGCGGCAGCCTTAATATTTGCTTTAATAACTAAAGCAGCGCTATTTTTTTGAAAATAAAGCGCCGAACTCGGATTTGATAAGCACAGCATTAACGGTTAAATTAAACGGAAACCTACTTGAAAAGGTGATAATGGTTTTATTTGATTCGACAGCGCTGTGTTCGGCGCTGTATTTTTACACAAGATTTAGTCAGGTGAGTGGGACTAGGGTTTGACACAATATAACTGAATCATTAATAAAAAATATTAATGAGCACAAGTGAACACATTTTCTAGTTTATTTCGAACTATCCGGCGATATTTTAAAATGAACTAGGATGGAACTGGTTCTATCGTGTAGAACTTTAATTTTGCCTTCAATTGTTGTGCTTTTATTTGTTCATTTAAAATTTGCTTTAGGTTCCTGCTTTTGAAAAATGTTTTTATGTGTTCCATTACAACAGAAAATAAAATAAAAAAATAATTTCAATACCATAGATATTTTTATGTTGCGATAGGAAAAAAAAAATGGTATACTTAAATAACCACACGAATGAACAGAACCGCAGTACTCAATCGGCGGCCGAGATCCCAGTCACCCGACTACTTCTTTCTTCATCTTTTGTTAACCCTCCCATGTCACCGGCGTATTTATAAGTTAGCTCATTGTTAATATAACATTAAAAAAAATAATATCCATGAAAGTGGCTAGAATACGTCGCCGTGAATACAGTTTAAGTTTTCCTAATAAGTGTCAATTTCATGTGGCTAATCACTATTATGTTTAGGAGGTAGATAGTTGAATAAATTAATAAAGATTTTCATTGCACAACTTTCTATTTCATAATTCTGTTACAGACGGAAAAAATCTGTAACATCAACAACTAAACTAATTTTTAACACATTGGGTTAACAAAGTAATATAAAAAACAAAAAAAAATCATAACAATCGTTAATCTTTAAGGACACATACAGCCAATAATTATATTAAATACTATAAATAACCGATACCTAGGTATCATGCAGCAGCACATCAATTTACCACAAATGTCAAACCGCAATTATTCTGGACTTTACTAGCAATGCATTAAGATATAATATCAAGTTGAATTTGACCGTGCTGCTTGTAAACAACGATTTCATTTTAAACCCATTTCATGGGACTCTAATCATTAAAATTTACACGAATATAAAGGTAGACCCATTTTCTAGCCACAGTCATGGATGTACAAATATTCACGACTCCAATTAGATACCAATATATTGAAGTACGAAATGTTGCGTAAACGAAACATGTCACGATGATTATGTTGTCTTAAAATTAAATATATATTTTTTATTGCAGGTACATGGGTTAGGGTTGCATTAGAGGTGGCGGAGTCTGGAGCTTGACATTCACTTACCTATATGGGCTATGGAACACTGCACTAAACATATTGTATTATAATAGGCTTTCTTAGAACACTCGGCTTTTTTGCTATCTAGTTATCTTTAAAAGATAAAAAATATTAGAGCAATAAGAAGATACCAAAATACTCTTAAGATGTATAATAACTTTATATTAGATCTGAATACCTACATACACAAAATTGTAATGAAATTAATCATCATGTGAAAGTAATAATATTATTTATTTCGCTTTCGCTGTGACGTAAATAAAACTTTATTTTTACATTTTTTTCTTTGGTGATACGCTTCAGTGAACCCCACCTTTCACTATCATTTCCCGCTGCTTTGCTACTATATCTTACAAGCAAATCGATTTTTGGTAAGTCAACAGTACATCGATTGACAAATTTTCCCCATCGATTCTAAACTTAAATGCACACTTATTAAGGCCTGATAGTCATTGAAGAAATTTGGAAATATTGTATAAAATGATGCGCTGTTGACTAGTCCAAGTTGTAACTGTAGAAGGATAAAACGATTTCCTAATCATTATATGAGGACAGAACGAAACGGATGCATATTGTTGTTATTTAAAACAAATAAATCCTCAAATGTGTCAAAGAATGAAACATCCAGTAAATTTGCAAGTTTATTGGATATACATTAATAAAAACACGTCAATACACATACATAATTTACTGAAAAGGAGAACAGCGAATATGACCAACTTACAACGAGAGTTCGGAAATTTAAATGTGCAGACAGTAAACTCCATTCGTATAGTAAAGCTAAAATAAAGATAAATAAGTTTTCAATGAAGGTTTGTTAGTAGAAAAACTCGATTATATATGACCAATATTTACCATTCTCCTTTCGGATTCACACAGACTAAAAACTTAGGTATATTATTGTGCCACTCTCAGTGCTAGAATTTCTTATCAAGTAACGACGGCATATAGTACCCTCCTTAAATGTCACCTTTTAGTAGGCGAGATAAGCTTTATGCAAATATATATATGATGCGACGTAATAGCAGCAGTTGTAACACAATCATTGATTTATAATTTCCTAATTAAAATAAACATTAATTAATAATAATATTTGTGGGTATATGAGAAAAGTTTTACATTTCAAATGCATGAATATTATATATTGTAATGTAAATGAATATTGTAAAATTACAAATACATTTCCAGTATTACAAATAATTTTTATTTTTGTACGAATAAAATTGCACATATATGGAATAATGCCTCTAATATAATTACGTTCATTTGCACATATCAAGTTACGATTTATCGTTTTAATTGTGCGGACAAAAGCGATGTCCAGATAAAGCAAAAGTAAACATTCACTTCTGAAGTACAGATAATATACAAAATATTAAATAATCGCTATTCATATCGTTACTACTGTTTTCACTTAAAACTTAATAGAAAAGTTAATACTATGGCACCATAGCAAACTAATGTGAGGTAAATGTGTTTTAATTAATCGACTGGCTTAAATATAAAATTAAACCTATAACACTAATCGCAGTTTTAATGTGACAAATATGTTTTATAATTAGGTATTATTTAATTAAAGAAGTATAAAAAATTCTGCAAAAGACAATGTAAAAAAAGTTTCTCAAACATTTTAACAAATTACCTATGATCACATAAAAGATCGTCAGGAATTAAAAAAAATAACATTAAAATAATATTCAATTAATTAACATAACCAATATAATTCATAAGTTATGAAACATTAACACACAGATTTTGTAAAATTTACTACCTATGTGAGGCCGAAATATATGTATTATGAGATACAATATTCTTGACACATCAATTAGGTACCTACTTTAAAAAAAATCCAATCAAGTGGATTTATTATTTTAGAAAATGACATTAATAACATCTACGAACCCGCTAAATCACCATTAGAATTTCTATACTGCACTCTTTTGAACACCAAATATTTCCAATTTACCCTAACCACAGTTTCGCTAAATAAAAAAATATAGGTATATTTTTTTTTGTATAACAGTCATTTGTCATCATCTACATAATTTGGGAGAAAATTTAGGCGATTGGTCATAACTTCATTTAATTCAATGGTTCCCGACCTTTCCATTATTAGCCTTGTGACTTATTATGAAAACAGAACGCAATGTTTAACACGAGATCCCTCCTGAAAGATATCTATGGACACTTGTGATCTTATCTTTTTATTTCAGCTTGAAGCATGGTTTAAACCATATTCCATAATAAGACGGTATTATTATGAACAAAGTTTCTTAATTATGGGTTTTATGTAACCCTTATAGAATGACTGAATTTTGAAATGTTGATTAGGAACCACTGATTTAATTTAACATACGCTAGAACAACACTTATACAATGTTTTCTCGTTATAATCAAATTACATGTTTATCTCGTTATCTACGCAATTATCAAAATACACATCTCACATCTCCGGCCACAGCTCTAAATAGCCATACTATAATAAAACCTTAGCAGTGGTGTATGTTACGTGAGGACAGTATATGAGTAAATAATTATGGGCGGTTATCTTATTTGCTGATTTGCGAGATTCCTCGGTATAGAACTTTATCACGACATTTAAATAATTTTTTTTTTAATATTCATTAGATCGTTTTATAAGTTTACATTTGAGTAGCCTCCCTCGTAACATTAATGTATTTTTACCCAGAACTGGGTCCTACAAAACAAATAGATGTATATGAATCCGTTTTTGAAACGATGATTTTTCTTTGGTTAATTATATTTTATATCAATGGAAACCTATCTATTTATTTTGTAGAAAAGCCCAGTAGATGGCCTTTAAAGAGCACACCACTACTCTAAGGGTAAGCTCACCAGCCAGTCTAACCGACTAATTAACAAATAATATATTTCATGTATACCTAGCTCAACCTACATACGAATATTGCCCACTAATTGTACTTTTATACTTTATTCGTCATATAATTTTATTGAACTTCTACAGTGTAGCTAAATAATCGTATGACCTCAACGAATTTCAATATAATTATAGATCAGTAATATTGGTTGTATACGGTGATTCATTGATACGTGTCAGTAGGTTTTAATAAAATCGAGATACCTCTGCTTGGTTTTGTTTGTTTTTCAATAAAAATGAGTTTTACCACATCAAAAATCTTAGTTTTCCCAAATTTTTACTACAAAAGCACGAAACCATAGATGCATAGCCCTTGGTTGCCACATGACTTTTGAGTAGTTTGACTATATGTATTTAATAAAAGAAAACTATATCATAACTAGCTGTGCTCGCAACTTCATCAGCGTGGAAAGTAGCCTAAGTCACTCCTTATTACATAAGCTATTTGCCAAAATCAGTCCAGCCGTTACAAACAGACAAAAAATGAAAAATATGATATATTGGTATATATACCGTGTACGTGCGTACATACTTATGCAGTTAGTAAAAAGCGGTTAAATGAATGTTACAAACAAACATTCCATTTTATTTATTTGTATAGAAAGATAAAATTATTGTATTTTTATCATAAAAACTTCCGCTTTTCATAAAAATTGTGTATTCGACTAAATACTACATATGGACATCTTTATTTTTCTAATTAAAGCACATGCAAATAACATTTAAAGTCTTTTGACGTGTTCAATGAATCGCAATATAACACACCGTATTAATGTCAGACTGACCTTTGGCTCTCAGTGGTTAGTTAGAAAATATATTTTGAGATTGCATGATAATTAGCGAAATTTTCGACTTAATATTTTTATATTAAAAATAAACATCATAATATTATATTTTTGTTTTGGTATTTCCCTTTGAGTTTTCCAAAAGTGGCACTTAGGTAGAATGAATTAAGAATGTATCTGTTTCACAATTATGAAAATAATGTAAAATCTTAATTACATCATTAAATATAATATGCAAGTAACGGACTTCAAGAAATTCTGTTACTTCTACATCGGTTGTAGCTTAAAGAGCGCGGGCTTGCTGAAAGGAAAAAGAGAAAATTAGTTTATAGAATTAATAAAATGAGCGAACTTATATTATTTAGTGTATAATATGTTGAATCCACATTGAAATAAGACTACATTATTTCAAAACAAATTTTGATTGATAACTAAGTAATTAAAACACAAAAATGGAACAGTTATGATAAACACCCAACTAATTATAATCTTATACGTCAAGTTGACTTTATCGTGTTAAAAGTTTATGGCACATGGCTCAAATCAAAATGGAATTCAAGTATGTAAAACAATTGTTATGAAAACAATTCCCAATTGGTATCGTACGACGTACATTATTAGAAATTAATGCTTTTATAACGCTGAATGGCAAATACAATGATTCGCACCATAACAAATCTAATCAGGCGAGTTTGTCCCGCTATGTAATAATTAATCGCTTTATGGCAAATACCTATAAAACAAGATTTCATAATAGAGCCGTCAATGTTGTTCAATACAGAATAAACACAAATTCCTTTGTGTAGTAAAAAATTGGATTCAAAAGGATAGGCTGTTGCGGTCTTCTTAAACTAAAAATATTAATTAAATTATTCCTAAGTAGTCTTTAGGGCTAAATATATTACTTAATTATCAATAAACAAACTAATGTTAGAAATGTGTGGAATAATAAATTTTCTCTTTATGTTGAAATGTGGGGTGTTTTCATTTAATAAACTAATACAGTAAAGCGAAGAAAAGAAACCTATGGTAAATGATAATTATCGGCAGAACTAAATTGTTCGGATGCCAAAATCCGTTTGGTTACATATCCGATATTCTCATATGCCTGTACTTAAAACAAGCGAATTCATAATCGGCAGCGAATACACATTCGTGAACAAGACACACACACAAGACTAAATAAGGTGTTGACTGTCTTTTTAATTAAGAATATAGCTACCGTCATTAGAGTATAGATTGATGAAAGCTGTCACAGACAAGATTGGAAGGATTTTGAAACGAGCTTCTATCAACACTTACTTTAAGCCGCCGAAGAAGATGCACCAATTCTTAAGACCTGTAAAGTGTAATATCCCCTTCCAAATTGTAGGTATATACAAACTAGAATACGTCTGTGGGCTCTCATATATCGGGCAGACATGTAGCTGACGTTAAGCATATGCGCCAAAATAAATCTGCAATGTGTGAACAAGTGTTAGGAGAACCCAAGCATTACATAAGATTTGACAATCCAAAAATTCTTGCGACTGAACAAAACTTATTGGTTACGGTAGCCAGGGGTTAGTCATTTTTTTAAATAATTTAATTTCATAAAAGTAAACGTTACCATTATATATACTGTATTATGAATGTGTCCAACAGATTTGTTTTGAAGGTAGCTATACTCAAAATTAAAAAATAAAACACTCAACACCTTAGTCTTATGTGAACACGGAACCTGTAAAGGGTCCGAAACGTCAATAAAACTAAATACAAACGCGATGAAACTGTTTAAAAGTTGTTTCATTTATGATAGTGTGCGTGAAAATATAAGTATTTATTAGTGTTAAATCGAAAACTATTAGTAGGTAGGTACACAAAATCACTTAAGGATAAAAAAATTGATATCATGCCACCGAAATTCACAAAACATTATCGAAAGTAGTTATAGTACTGTGAATATTGCACTAAAATACGGTATCTATTAAACATATAAAGGTAAGTACACATCTGAAAGTTTTGAGATAAAGCTAAAAGCCAGTTATGACAATGACAACTTTAATACATATGTATTAAATAGACATTGAACAAGATTTTAAAATATTGTGTTATATATTTATCTGAGTCAATAGCGAATCGAATAAAAAACGAATTATTATGACACGTGTTCTTCTAAAGATCTAAAGCATCACGTTTCGAAAAGTAACTATGATATCACAGTTGTGTTGGAAGTTGTGTTTTAATATTTTATCATAACTCCACTCACTCCGACCACTTAATGACTTACATTAAACCGTGACGCTTTTGATTCTTTCCATAAATGCTAATTAACTTTAAATTTAACGAAATAAAAAAGTTATGTGGGATATCATCAAAATGTTTTATTCGTTTGAAAGGTCTATTGATGTCATTTTGTATGGTAGGTACAACATGATATCAGTCAATCTTCGTTGGGCGGTGCGCATCCGAAATTAATTTCATGACTTCGGGCCTAAATCGGATTGAATTTGATCGCGGGATGGTTTATGTTGGTTTTGCGAATCATTGTTGTTTGCGACACAGATCTACGGCACGTAATAATCCACAATTTAATCATAATAAATCACAATTAAGTCATCAAAACAGGATGAAATAGCATGATGAGAAGTAATGCCTCTCTCTCTCTCTCTTACAAAAAGCGGCAGTATTTTTGTATACCAAGCCAGTGCATCCAAATATGCGACACACTTCATTCAGTAAGACAACAGGAATTATGTATAAAATGTAGTCATAGTCTCAATTTTTTTAAAGTATTCTTTAAATCTTTAAAGTATTTTTTTAGTTACTTATTATTTAAATCCAGAAAATATTAAATAAAAAGCCAAACATAAAGGAGGGAAAATTGCACGAGTCGAACGAAATGTGACGTCAATGGCCATTTGATTTATTGGCGGCGATAATCATCAGTGATTCAGTGCTGTGTATAGTGTTTAGAAAAAAGTTCAATCAAACTGTATTTCCGTGAGATTACTTGCGAATAAAATTAGTTATCCCAATACGATTACAAAAACTGGTTTTGTGAAAGCAAAGAGATTAAAGTAATGAAAGCTGCCAGGTATGTTTTTCTCCACAACATAGATTTTTTATTCACAAATATTTAATACTGTGAGTATTGCAAAACTACACAACTACTTACCTAACCTATAAATAACCATCTGCCATTAAAATTTATCCTAAACTCCTAAAAATTACGTCTATTTATCAATATACATATTAGAATTTTCGAAATAATATTTTTAAATACTTTTTGTAATGTAGCCACATTTTGTAATCTTTTTTTCCTGTGCAGTAAAGATATCGTATTGATTTACACCAATTATTTTGCACTTGTTGTTGTTTTAGATCTGCCCTGCGATTCTGTAAAAATATAAACCCAAATTCGAATTCACTCGAAAAAGTGGCATTCGCTCAATCCTAAATCGGTAATAACGTTTTGTGGCATAAGTGAAGTGAGTTTCGAAATGACATATGAATAGAACACCTTTATTCAATAAATTTAGTTTTGTATTTTTATACAAAAAAATTAAATCAATATAATTTCTATACTCAATGGTGCGAATAGGCATGACGACTAGAATGCAATTCTATTTAGTCCGTCAGTCAGATAATAGAAAAATATTAGACACGTATTTCTTTTTACTTCAATTTAACAAGAAATTACTTAGATAACAAGCATTAAGGTTGAGGAGTGGGGGCTCGCCACGTCACAGTTTAGTAGAAAACGTACCACAACGTGTCGTCATGCGAAATTTCAACTCCATGTAAAGCCGTAATTTTATGATTACGAAAAAATAAAAAAATACGTGTTTAATATTTTTTAACACTCTACCTGACGGACAAACAAAAATTAGTTGTCATCCCTATTCGGAAACATGAGTGAATTCGAAATCGGGTCTGGATTTTTTCAGAATCGCAGGGCTGAACGAGAATCTTATGGTGATTTGGCAGTTGGCTTATATCCATTATTACTGAAATCTAATCCTCTAAACTTTAGAACATCAATACCTGTTATAATAATTGGAACATTTTTTAGAATCGTTCCCGCCATTCTATATATCAATCAACGTCAAACCGAGATACTTTAATGCGCCTTTTATGAAGTCAGCCTAATTGTCGAATTTTTAAATTTATCGTAGTCCCTTTTAATTTGACAAGATAAATTTACATTTTTTTTCATTTTTTTTTTCATTTAACTTTTTGGTTTCTTTTTGAAAAATTGGAAAGCTAATAAGCCGAATGGGCTAATTTTCTTATTTCAAAATCAACAATCCTGTAATTATGTAACATTTTAAGTCAAAATCACTTTCGGAACGAATGTTGATTTGAATGATCAAGAAATAATAAAAACTTAACTAAACCCGTCGCAAGATTGCAGTTAGAATTCAGCTCTTGCCTTAGACAATTCCAATTAAAACACCTTAACTTTAAAAAAAAAACATCAAATTAACGATATGGTTCATTCATTATCTTTAAAAACGTAACGATCGCAATCGACATCACATGTGAAATACTCGTAGAAATTTCAAATTGCAAGGATTTGCGACCTTTTTTTAAAATTAGAGAATTAGAGCCAATTATATTAAATAGACAACATAATAGTCTTTCGTGATTATTATTTTAATAGAAGAATCGAAATATTTTTAACGATTATTATTGTTAACGATTAAAATTTTTCTTATATCTTTATAGACCACAAAATTGATTACATCTATTAAAAACTAATTCAAAACTATCGATTTTTTTTTGTATTTATAATTTTTTATTACCACGTCTCTAAAAATACAAATGCCGAACGTCACCGTACTCATACTATGCGAAACGGAAATTTAAAATTAGTAAACAAACTCGGGGTACGACCAATGGCGTAATCAAAAGCGCGCTCTAAATGGCGGCGTTTGAACAGCTGAAATTCGTTCAAAGTTTACAATTGCACTTTTAACAAAATTTGACAATTTTCAAACCAACTTATATTTTTTTTCTTTAAATACAGCTGTGAATTATTCATAAAATAGAAAGTGCATATTCCCTATTATGGCCACGCGCACGGAACGTTGTCTGAATAGAACACCTATTTTGAGAAAACAATTTTATCATTTGCACGTGTCGTTGAACATTATGTGTATTTATCAGGGCTCGGAAACGTTATTCAAAATAACGTTTTTAAAACGTTTCTTATGGTTCTTTGGGCAAGATTGCGTTCGAAACGAAAACGAAATGAGAACGCTTTAAAAAACCGGTTTAATCCGCAAGACGGTGCCGCGCGGGCTGTAAGGGCGGCGT